AAGGTGTGCAAAGAATACAAAGCCGGCAATTATCTAGAAATATGTGTTTGTAGATGGTCATTACTAAACATTTCTAAAGGTGTGTTAGTTGTTATTTTAAAGGTTTGGGTAAAGGTCCGCTTTAACACCACTAATTCATTCTAAGTGCTTTGCTTATGGAAAAAATAAAATTATATAAAAATATATTATCCCTGCATCAGTTACTACTTGTACCTACTTGTACCTAAACCTGCTCTGGTTGGAGTGAATCAAACTTTCCCGCCTAATATTAGATCCAATACACATGCTATACATATATATACTGTAGATATTGTAGATATCTATCTATCTATCTATCTGTCTATCTATCTATCTATCTATCTATAGATAGATAGATAGATAGATAGATAGATAGATAGATAGATATACAGTATATATATAACATCCGAGTAAATAACTGAGCCGAAGTGAACATGGCCGAACGACGTTTGGCTATTCACTCCGCCTCAGTACAGCTGATTTCAGCCATACATCGGCTGAAATCAGCCATACATTGGCTGCCTTCGGCCGAAGTGCAGAAGGACTTCGACTCAGCCGATCCAACATCTGGCAGCTCGCTCGCTGCTGTTTGGCCCTACTCTCATCGGGGCCAAACGGCAGTGAGTGAATAGCTGAATGACGCAGAGTCATAGGGGTCTATTCACTAAGCTGCCGTAGGCAGCCGAGTGAATGACCGACCTGAAGTGAGCCGAACACTGTTCGGCTATTCACTTCAGGCTGGTACGACTGATTTCAGCCGTACATCGGCTGAAATCAGCCGTACATCGGCTGAAATCAGCCGTACATCGGCTTGCTTCGCGTGGCTTCAGGTCGGCCGAACAACCCGAAGTGCAGAAGGAGTTCGACTCAGCCGATCCAACATCTGGATCGGCTGAGCCGAACCTCCGGCAGGCTACTCACTGCTGTTCGGGCTATTCTTAAAGATGCCAAACAGCAGTGAGTGAATAGCCGAATGCTGCCGAGCGGCATTCGGCTCGGCTGTTCTGCTCGGTCCCTCAGAGGTACCGAGCAGAACAGAAAAAGAGTGAAAAAAGTTAAAAAAAGTAAATCGCAAATGATTGTGCGGAGCTAGCAGTAACAGCTAGCTCCGCCCAATAGTTTCCTGTTGTCCGGTGGCTCTGCTGCTGTCAAAAAATAAAAAAACTCTCCTGGGCGCTCTGGGAG